GAACTGTTTTTTAAAACCTAAAGGACACTCAGGTATGACAGAACACTTTCAAAAAACCCACAGCTATTCTTCCCACATGAAAACCCAACCTTAAAGCTACCTTTTGAATATCTCAAAATTATAGTTGGCCAGAAGGTTAAATACAGCATTCTGGTCTTCCCGATGAACACACAACTTAGTCTTGAAGCTTCAGTGGGAACTAAAGCAGGAGCTGATATCCCAACTTTCAGCCCATCCCAAGCCTGAAGAATAACAAATGAGAGCTGATAGCTGTTATCAAGAGTGCAGATAATAGAATGGGGACTCTGCCCTACTGGAATCTTGGTATGATTTATGTTGGCCTGTAGACAGGCACAGAAATGAAGCATTGGACAGCCTTATACATGTTGTGAAACTAGCCCTTCCTTCACATGTTATGTCTGGGATTGGTGGGATCTGATAACCAGAGAATCTCAGTCAAAGTCTGAAAGTACTAGGAATTGCTGAGTTCCAAGGGGAGCCATTTGAGGCCAGTACCACCAATAGCAGAACTCAAAACAGGCTGACATTCCATCTGAAAACATGTCTGGACCTTTTACTTTAGTGCAGCCCTGGAAGAACTGAGCTGCCACAGCCCATTAACAGTTTGGGACTTTAGTCTATGGCCACAGCCAATAAATGAGACTCTTAGATACAGCTTGAGGCCAAGAGGGAGATGTCAAGAATTGTGTGTTTGTCACAAGTCTAAGAGTTGATGTCTGCCAGACCTGACTTCTCCCAAAAGAAAAAGAAATGGCTTTCCAATCAAAGGCTGAAGAGGGTAAAGGAGAGAAAGTTTATGAGAATAATGGTCTTTTACATGTAAAGGCTGATCTGTGCTTGACAAAACTCCTTTGCAGGCATTATCTTCTCTAGCCTCACCATACAGCTCTAAGGTAGGAGTGGCTTTGAAAACAACCCCCAATAAATACCAAAATACTTATAGCAACATTTATTTTGTGGTAGCAAAAAATTGGAAACAAAGTAGATTCCCATCAATCGGAAATGGTGAAAAAATATTGTGGTACATTGATGTAATGGAATATCACGTGCAATTAAAAAAACGCAAAGAGAATATAGAAAAATGAGGAAAGACACAAACTGATGCAAAATGAAGTAAGCAGAGCCAAGAAAACAATATACATAATGAATACACCAATGGAAATTGAAAGAACAGTAACCAGGAAACAATAAAAAATGCAAGTTGCAAGATTACAATGATAATGACCTCCATTTTATAGATGAGAAGGCTGAAGCCCAGAGAGGTTGTATGATTTGCTCAAGCATACCCAGTGAGTTCATGACAGATAGGGCCAGAACTTAGTGATCTTGACCATTTGTATAGCATGCTACAATTTAGTAGAAGAATGACATTGGGGGCCAGAGTACTTGTCTTTCTCCCTGTCATCTCCTAAATAGTCAGAACATGATATGGTTTAAAAGCAGCCATAAATTTGGGGAAACTAATAATAATCTTAGTTATTTAGTAAAAATTAGTAATAATCCTAACCCCATACAAAGATAACACTACCAGTCCATCATAAGCAGAGCACATGCTTTGAATACTGGGTTAGGAGTTTGTGAGTTAAATCTTAGTTCTGCCATTGATTACTTGCATAACCTTCAGTAAGTCATTTTCTTGCTCTGGGATTCAATTTCCTACTCTGTAACTTAGTTTAATTTTTAAAAAAAATTATTGAGAAACTATTGTGTATAAGACACTATGCTAGGTTCTGGGAATACAAAGACAAAAACAAAATAGCCGTTGCTCTCAAGGAAACCCAATTTTTACCAGACTGCTTTACAATTTTTGATTTTTTAAAAAAAGTTTTTGGAAGGATCCAAGTAGGGCAGCAGAAGAAAAGGGAGACTTCTTTTCTCCAGTACACAACTCGTAGGAATGCATCTCACTGCCTTTAAGGTAAGAATTGCCCTTTGTCTACTACAATTTTTATTCAGCATTTGGGGTGGGGAGAGATTGCACCATTCCCAGTTTAACTCCTCTATTTTTCACTGCTCTTTAGCATATACAAGTCCTGGGCATTTGAATACGTGCCCAGTGTCCACAGTGGTTCCCCTTTTCTAGAGAGGAGAGATTGGAGGAGAGAGGAGAGAGGGAGGGAAGGGGGGCAGAGAGAGAGACAGAAAGAGAGAGAGAGAGAATAGTGTGCTAAGTGTTGGGAATACAAATACAAGCAAACAGTAAGACCATCTATGCCCTCAAGGCACTTAACATTCAAATGGGAGAAGATAACCACCAGCTAGCTACCTGGTGGATTTAAAACCCGGATTTATCATTACTTATTTCCCTAATTCTGGTTCAAACTGTATGGAACTCTAGAGTAGCATGATCCAGGGCCTTGTGTTGAAACAGAACACCCCAAGTCACCACAAAGATAACTCCAAAGAAGACTTAGGACTCAGTCCCTTAAGACATCATGGCTACACCCATGCCTCCAGGTCTGCCTACTCTCTCTCCTCTACATACTCCATTGACTCTATTGCCCAAGCAGAGGCCAGTTTGATCCAAGAAAGAAACCTTCCCAGAAGGTCATGGGCAGGGCAGCGAATCAGAAGACATCTAGGCCAATACCCTAGCGCAAGGTCACACAGGTAGTAACCATCAGAGGTGGATTTGAATCCAGGTCCTTTAACTCAAGAGGCTGCAATCTTTCCACTGAACCACATACTCCTCTTTCTTAAGGCCAAGCCCATGACCACTTTCTCCAGAGCCCAAAAGTGTGGGTACAATCAGTCACTGGTCCCTTCAGTTGTTTTCTGTAGCCCCAGAAAGACAGGAATAGCCAGGGGCCTCTCCAGAGCATTGCACATTTGCCCTCACTGTTCTGTTTTTCCTCCATGCCCAGCAGCATCTTATCTCCCTTCTCCTGCTGCTTCTCCTCTAGTAACTCAGGCTACAGTGAGAGAAGAAACTGTCACCTCTCTTGCTTCTGGGCTGAGAAAGCCTGATTATTACTTCTAAAGAATGGGGAAAAGAAAAGATGATTTCATTAAGATGAGCAAAAGGATCAGCAAGTCCTCAATGAGTGAAAATAATTCCAAGGGCCTCTCCCCTTTTCCATCACTATCATGTGGAGCCTGGGTCTATAGAGGGTTTCTACATTGCTATTAGCCAGATGCTTCCATGCCTTTCTATTTCAGCCTTTCAATACACAAATAGTACTGACAATGTTCATATCTTACATTGGCAGAGCACCTCTTACTTTGCACAGTGCATTCTTAGTTGTGGTCTCACTTAACCCTCAAGCATTGTCATCTTCCTTTTCCAAGAGAGGGGACCAAGTGTCAGAAAGATTAAGTGATTTGCTGCAAGTTCTATCTGGAATTCTGATTGCCCAATTCATGGCTCTCAGCAACAGAATATGCTACCTCATGGGTACATCTTTAGACTAAACCCCTAGTAGTATTTTTCTTTGTTAAAAAGTCCATTAATTTGACACAACTATTGTTATTGTTGCTTGTTTTTCATTTTTGAAGAGAACCGATGATATCACAGGGTGATGTCTGTACTTTCCAGTGAATTGGCTTTAAGTGAGGCAGAGCTGCACAAAATCATCAGCCTCTCTCTTCCAGAGTCATCCAAGTCCAGTGGCAAGACAAAAGTCAGGATGACTGACAATGGACCAGGATTCAGTGGGTGACTTTGGTGTCTTCAATGTCTGACCAAGTGCTAAGCACTCCACAATGCCTGCTTCAGCTGCCTTCATAACGGTTGGAATAAATTGTTCTCATCTGACCATTCTGCTGGAGGAAGTCTTCACATGCTTGGGGTAGACACCTTCCCTTACTCACCCACAGGTTTGAGGCTATCTGTTAGCCTCAGCTTTGTTTAGCCCATCTGCCCACATGGTTTTACTGGGGTATTGCCGCTACACACACTATGGTTCTTGAAGCCACAGGGGAGAGTTGAGTGTCAGGTAGACACCAAAGGTGGATGAGCAGCCTTACACCAGTCCTTCTTGAACATTCCATACCCCAGACACAACTACATTAAGCATAGAAAGCATAGAAATTTCAAATAGGGTTGCATCAACTCTGCTCTGAAACAGAGGAAAAAATAGTCTTCATTTCCACATAGCAATATTATTGATTCCATAATGGACCAGACCCATGATTTAATTGGTGTAAAGCACTACCCTTACCAATGTAAAGCACTACCTACATTTAAATCTATGGTCATAGTGTTTCCGGAGGCACAGACAGGTTAAGTGACTAGGCTGGGTGAGAGGTAGAATTAGAACCAACCCTTTTACTGACTACTGGGCCAGCCGCCTCTCTGTTCTGTGACAGCATACTGAACATCGTTACTCTTGAGCTTTCATAATTAGACAGCATTTGCTCTGGACGCATGTGCCAGTGCATAGTGCATATGCAATATGACCAATGCATAGTGCAATATGACCAATTCTGTGTCTTTGCCTTCTATACCTCTTTCACTGACCTCTTCCTCTTCACTCTGAAAATAGTAATCAAATGAACCAAGATATTTCTTTCTGGCCACACTCCCTTCCCCCTATACAGATTGTTTTCTCCTATTAGAACTTAAGCTCCTTGAGGCTAAGGGCTATCTTGCTTGCTTGTACTTGCTGTGTCTGGCACATAGTAAAGCACTTAACAGATGTGTTTTCATTTATTAATTCATTTGTTCACTCTTCTCTTGTGCAGTTCAAATTCATATGTTTTCCTGGACGTTTGAAATTGCTTCCCATTGGATTTGAATTTCTCAGTATTAGCTAGCTGTGCCTACTGAGAGAACCTCAATCTTGGCTTCCCTAAAGACAAGTAGGTATCCTAAACTGAGCTTCTGGCTTTGTGACAACAAAGACTGTGTTTTTAGATTTCGTGATGGTGACTGGTAGTTACTCCGGTAATCTGTATGACCTATCAAAGTCTCAATTTGGACATAGCCTTTCATGCCTTCTCTTTCACTGCGACTCTGTTTTCCTTTGCTAACTGGTTCTTCATCAGTCTTGGCAGCTGCAGGCAGCTAGGGCGGGTGCATGGAGGCCTGCATAGAAGCCTGTTCCTCAAGGGCCAGCAATGATTCATCACTGTCAGATTCTGTTGGGGGCCTGGAAAGAAAACTTGGCTATGAGATGTTAGCAGCAAGTGAGCAAGAGGGATTATCATCTGTGCCCAAGTTGGGGAAGCCCATCCTTGTTTTCCATGGAGATTTTGTCTTTCCCTTCTGCCCTCAGCTGACTCCTAAAGGAGTCTTGCAGGGGCAGGTTAGTTAGGGATCTCAGGCATGCCTGACAACTATCAATACATAGTCAGGATTTCATCTTAGCCTGGAGCACACTAACTAGTATCTTTGTTGCTGGTTGTTCCCAGCAAAGAAGTCATCAATCTTTCATCTATGCTCCAGGCATCTGGACAACTTGTCCCCTAATCAATCTCTACTCCACCCCACTTCTGAGGCTGAATGCTGAACAGAAAGATGACCACAGCTTAAGCATTGAAGGAGAAGCCACACTGAAAATTTCCTTAGGGAATGGTAATGTTAATCACCTACCCTTCAAATTAATCAATCAGTCAGTCAATAAGCATTTAAAGTGCCCACTACATGCTAAGTATTTGGGAAATACAAAAACCAAAACTGGTCCTCTCTTCCAAGAGAAACTCATACAAAGTACACTGCCCTTCCCCTGTCTCCTTCCCTCCCTTTATATCCTTTCTCCTTTACTCTTTCCCCCTTCCCTTCCTGCATTCTTCTTCTACCCTAACCCTTTTCTCTTCCTCCCTAACTCCTTTCTTTATAAGATCATAACTTTAGAGCATAAAGAGGCCTTACAGGTCACTGGGGGCAAATGCTTTATTTAACCGATGCAAAGAGCAAAATAATGAGACAATTGAGGCGGTAAGTGAATTAATTGTCTAATATCACACAAAGTGGCAATACCAGAGTTTGAACCTAGGTCCTCTCCCTCTAAATGCAGACACCTGCCACTGCACTGTGCTTTGCTGTCCCTTCCTCCCATTCTTCTCCAGCTGTGGAACAAATCCCAGTGGAAGAAGTATAGACTTCGGGGCACTTCTAAACTCAAGAGGTTGCTGATGAATATTTTCAATCCTCTTTTGCTGACCCAGAGATAGTTTTGTTCTGGGACACTCCCAGACTAGTCATTTTCACCCCTGCTTTCCTTTTAAATTCTATTTATCCCAGGCTGTTCTCTAATTTTTTCAGGCGCCCAGATTCATCTGCTCTTCTTGTCCCCTGCTTTCCCTTCCCTGTGAGGGCTTTAATCTTTGCTGGGTTGAATCTATGAATGTGTGACATCCCTGACTCTGTCGTGAAATGAGAATTAATTAGATTCTAATTACTCTCTCTGTGCTGTTTCTGTTTCACTCTCTTGTTAGGTTAGCCTAACATCTTTGTTGTCAGCTGGGTACTCAGCCCATTAAGAGAGATTCGAGTTCAGCTGGAGACAGGCAGTTACAAAGAGAACTGCTCTTACCTTCCACTGGGATTTTGTTATGAGCTGCTGTATCAGCAGATTCAGGCAACAGTCACATTCAAAGCTATGCACCTTTTATCTCTTCTCCCACCCCACCCCAATTCAATTCAACTCAATTCAATTCAACAAGTAATTATTAAGTACCCATTACTGCAAGGCTCTGTGTTGGATGCTGGTTATAAAAAGACAAAAAATAAAACTGTCCTTGCCTAAGACAGATGACACATACTCGGATAATTAAGTAGAAAGTAATTGCTAACATCTTGGTGGTGGGGCATCCATGGACAAAGTTATATTTGAGCTGAGTTTTGAAGGAAAGAAAACAAGGGGTTCCAAGAGGAAAAGGTGAAGAGGGACAATATTTGAGATTTGAGGCATGAAGCACGGAATGTCCACAATAATGCCCCAGTGTCAAGGATACAAGAGATGTGTTCTCTATAATCAAAGAATTTTAGAGTCTGGTTGGAAAGAAAAACATATGTAAATAAAGCTGTAACTAGTGCAAGACAGAATTTTTTTTTCTCAGCTCACTGACAGGTGCTATTATTATTTCCACTTTACACATGAGGAAACTGAGGCTGAGAATGATTAAGTGACTTGCCCAAGGTCATACAGTTATTAAGTGGCCAGAAGGGATAAAGGGAAGGGAATAGAAGGAAAAGGAGAGGTTCCTCATGTGTAAGATGGGGGTAATAAAACTTACTACATCACAGAATGGTTGTGAAGAAAGTACAATGTTAGCATCAAAGTAATATACAAATATGAGTTATTCTTGTTATTGGACAAAGAATGACTACTTAAATCCATCAACATGTTCTTTGTCTCTGAGCCTCTTTCCAGCTGAGCCCTGCCCAAGATGCTTTGGAAACAGATTTGGAACTTGCAGCTACTAGGGTCCATCTGGATTTCTTTTTAAATTGGGGAAATCTTCCAGATGTTCCTTCTGAGCCTGAAAAGTTGTGTGTTCTCTATACTTGTCACCAACTTCAGGATTGAGAAGTTTAACTCAAAACTTAAAAAAAAAAAAGTTTAACTCAAAGCCGTATCTAGTGGAGCAAGCAGAATACTAAGTACTCCATCAAATTGGAAAAGGATTGGTTCAGACTGGAGTGATGAGTGCCCATTCAATTCATTGACTTACAGACTCAGAATTTTCAAGTTTGGCGTGATCTTAGAGTTCATCAAATAGATGTGATCTTTCAGTCCCTGAACCCCCTATAATTTCTATCTCTCTTCTGCACTTATCACACCCTGCTGTGTATTACAGTTACTTGTGTACGTGTCTTATCTCTTCCATTTAATTATAAGGTCCTTAAGGGTAGCAACTGTGTGGATTCATTTTTTTACCTACATGTCTCCCATAGCGCCTAGCAAATAGCAAGCACTTAATATATATTTGTTGACTCGTTGCCCTGGAGAAGAGATAGTGAAACATGCTTCTTTACTCTTGGTAAAGGGTAGAGTACTATAGATGCAACATGTATGTCCTATCAGATACAGTCATTTGGGGGGGGTTGGGGATTGATTTTTCCAATAAGGTACTGTTCAATGGTGGAGGGTGTGGTGGGAGGTGTCTTTGATTACTTGGCATAGAAACAAAATGCAACCATGAAATTTTAAAAAAAAGAATATATGTATATACATATGTATGCATATGTATGTAAATTTGTCTAATTTAATTTTCTAAACCTAGTCCAACACCCTAATTTGACCAACAAGGAAAATGAGACCAAGCCCAAGGTCTTAAAGCTAGTAAGCAGCAGACTCAGGGCCAGGTCTCTTGACTTTCACACCAGTGCTCTTTTCATTATGTGACCAATTCAATTTAATTTGATCCAAACACTGTGAGTTTACAATTTTGTAAGAAGTTAAGATTCATGCTGGAGTAGTGAATTAGTAAACAACTGTGATTTAGTGCCAGTGGGAGTGATGAGGCCATTAAGGGCTTTAAGGTGCTTCCAGGAAAGGAAGAGATCATCAGTAAGCTAGAGCACCTGCAGGCTTCCGGCAAGGTGAGATTTAAGCTGGACTTCAAATGGTAGGCAGTATTTAGATGAGGGGAGAGGAAAGAAGTCATTCCAGGTAAGGGAGAGGCAATACAGGGAGATAAAAAGCATGGTGTACTCCAAAAACAGTGAAGAGACTGGTCTGACTGAAGTGGAGGATGAATGTTGAGTCATCTAATATAGAAGTCATATGGATTCCTTTATAATATTCCTCTATAATGATCTGCTCTTTGTCCCATCATTCTCAGAAATGCTCCGATTTTCCTAATATAGCATGCTGCATCTGAAAGAAAACATAGTAAGAGGCAACCATGGCAAAGTGAAGACTTGGAGTCAGAGAGCCTGGGTTTGAGCCATGGTTCTGCCTGTTTGAGCAAACAAATCACTTAATCTCTCTGAGTCTCAGTTTTCTCATCTATAAAATGGAAGGAGTAGAGCTAGAAGATCCCTATGGTCAATTCCAGATCAAAATCTGATGATCCTAAAGACTGAAAGAAAACTGAAGAACACATTTTTTTGAATGAATTTTCCCCCTTCCCCAGAGAAATGAAGGGGTTTACCCAAGGTTTCTCAGTATCAATGTCAGAGCCACTGAGTGGCTTAGGACAATCAGATCACAGGATTGAACCCAGGTCTTCTGACTCTAAGATCAATGCTCTTTCCACCACCACATTACAGCAGTGTTTCCCAATCAGGCACTGGGACATAATGCTCTGCCAAGACATCCCTGGGATGTTGAGGAAAGCATAGCATTGTCCACAGTGGTGACTCCTATACCGTCCCCCTAAGCACTGCTGCCCACATGTTCTGCTTCCTTTCCATCTCCCTGGAGCCCTATTACTCCCTAAATACCTTAAGGATGGACCAACTAAGCCTACCAGCCCCTGGCCACCAAACCCACATTGTGTGGGCAGGAGCTCTTCTTCTTCTCTTTTTTGCCATCATGACAGTCTCAGTGGGTGGTAGCATCTGTAAGTGCCTGGCTACCTCCTGAGACAAGGGAAGCAGGCAGGTACTAAGGGTCAGAGTCAGGTCAGGAGTTGGCACCAAGTAAGGATAAACAAGCACCAAGGTCAGGACACATTGGAAGTCAGAACCAGTGCACAGACTAGAGGTAGATGAGTTCAATGTCAACACTTGGGCAGTGAGAAAATGTAGAAGTCAGGCAGATTATCAGGAAGTGGGAAGTTCCTAGGATCATAGAATTTAGAGCTGGAAGAGACTTTAGAGAGTATGTAATGAAATTCTTCTTTATTGATAAGTAAACTGAGGTCCAGAGAGACCTAGAAGTACACAGGTAAAAAGTAACAGAATTGGGGGCAGCTAGGTGGCGCAGTGGGTAGAGCACTAGCCCTGAAGTCGGGAGGACCTGAGTTCAAATCCGACCTCAGACCAACCACTTGACACTTACTAGCTGTGTGACCCTGGGCAAGTCACTTAACCCCAATTGCTTAAAAAAAATTTTTTTTAAAGTAACAGAATTGACATTCAAACCCAAGTCATCTGACAGTCCAGTGTTCTTTCCACTATACCATTCTATCAACAAATGTAGGTAAGGGTAAGAATAAAATAACTAGAGAATCAGGGATGGCCACATATAGCTTGATAGCTTAAGCAGATAGATTGTGACCCTGACTCTAAATGATTCCTCCCAGGAGAACATTGTATACAACAGCCATGTTGTGCAATGACCAACTTTGATAGACTTAGCTCTTCTCAGCAATGCAATGATCAATTCCAGAAGTCTCATGATGGAAAATGCTATCCATATCCAGAGAAAGAACTATGGAGTCCGAATGCAGATCGAAGCATACTATTTTTTCTTTTTTCTTTCTTTTTTTGTGGTTTTTCCCTTTGGCTCTGATTCTTCTTTTACAACATGACTAATGTGGAAATATATTTAATATGATTTACATGTATAGTTTTTATCAGATTGCTTACCCCCTTGGGGAGGGGGAGGGAAGGGATGGAGGGAGAGAAAAAAATTTGGAACTCAAAATCTTATAAAAGTGATTGTTGAAAACTATCTTTACATGTGATTGGAAAAAATTAAAATACTACTGAGTGGGAGAAAAAAATAAACGATTCCATCTCCTCTCTAGTTCTGACTAGAATCTATCACTGTGTGAGAACCTGGGCTCCTTCAGGGAAGACAGTTGGAAATAACTGACTGGCATGAAGATTGTAGAAATGGAGAGCAGCTGTGGTTTCTATAAGAGGTAATTTCTGACAACAGGGCACCACATTCTTTTCAGAGACTCTCCTTTCTAATGGCACCTGCCTTTACACTCAGCCCAATTCCTTAAGTATTTATTGAATGTGGATGCATTTGGTCAATAGCGGTCTTAAAAAAAAATGACTGGCTCAGTGTGACATGGATAGATATCTGATTCAGGGATCTGTCCCCAAAGGACACAGCAATTTCTATCTTTATGGAGTATAGGAGAACCATGCCTGCACTGCACATGCCTAGCAAGGGGAGAGAAAATTAGGATTTAGAAACATTGACTCACTGGGGCTTGGTGCCCTCTCCTTCAATCTCTTATGTTTAAGTAGGGTATTGGGATCAAATTATATAAAGTGATATAATATCAAAGCTGGAGCCTGCTTATACAAGCTCAAGACATCAAATCGTTAAATTTTCAGTGTGAGCATTTATACCTCAGAAATTGACAAACTATAGATCAAGGCTTGATTTGTTTTGTTGATTGTCTAGATTTAAGAAAATGATGGAGAAAATATTCATATTGCAGATTAAATTTAGAAGTATGTCCTGCATACATTTTCTCTTCTCCCTCCCCCAAGTGATCTGGTTGTTAAACATTTATCAACACACCCCTGATGAAATCTATCTACCATATATTAAATATTGGTGGTCTTGAAGTAGAAGGAGTTTAAAATAAAAGCTATTTCTTCATGATTACTCTCAGAGGGAGGGCAGCTTAGCTTACTTTTTGTCCACTTAAAATAAAACATGCCTCCCCAGTCACCACTTCTCTATATATATTGTCTCTCATTTCTATTACTTTGTAGTGCATATAGATTTTGGAGGTCCTTATTCCAACTTACAGTGACATTGCCAAGGCAGGTCCTTAGAGGGCAGCTACATGTCCCTTTTAAGGTCCTAGGGATAATTTTGCAGAGTTAAGGATATCTAATGATATTGGTTCAATCCCCCATTCTGGTATTTCCCTCCAATGTCAATCTCCAGGGCTAGTTAATATCTTTTTGATATAACTAATACCACTGATTAGTAACCCACTTTCAATTTAGCCAGTTGATATCTCTTTGATACCATGAATAAGCAAGTAGCACCAATTAGCTTTTACAAGGGAATATTCACTGAGAAAATAGTACAAGCATAGAAGTACAAACATCCCCCTGAACTGGGGGCACACTGTTCTCTCTACTGCTTCAGTTCCTGGGTACAGAAGGCTCAAGCTCAAAACAGTAACTGCAAAACATTTGCCCCACCAATGTTCTGAATGAGAAATAGCTGTTGGAATGGCTCCCTTGTTTGCAGGACAACATAATATCTCAGCTCTAGGGTCGATTTATTGTTGGAATGACTCCCACGGGTTGTTCCTCAGGGCTGCACTGGTGTTTTACCTGGCTCAGCAGACAAACAATAATGAGTCAGTCAATAAACATTTTTTAAGCACCTACTATGTGCCAGGCACTATGCTGCATACATAGTGGCTACAGCAGTCTCAACCATGGGCTCCTCCAATCTTTCAGATCTCATAAAGTCATTCTATTTCCAATATTCTTTCACCTAAGAAAAAGAAAGAATGCACACAACGAGAGGAGAGGGACCTAGGTACTATATGGCCAGGTGGTGAACAGATCAAGGAGGAGATACCCCATTCAGAAATTGCCAACATTTTTTCATCCTCCCTCAAATTGCCTGGGTGAAAGAGATGATTTGTCTAGTTAATACCTTTTGTATGCACACTCAGTTCAGGTTCAGCAACTTTTCTTCACTGTGAAATAATTAAATAGGAAACAGTCATAGAATCCCTACACATGCTCGGAAAGCCAGGCTCCTCCACTCTACATCATCTTATACTACCAGAAGCAGGTTTATTAATCACCCACAGGGATCCATATTCCCAGGTCTCAGACCTTATTGGCTAGTTTGCTTACATTTATTACCTGTGTGATCTTGGCTGAATCACTTAACCTCTCTAGGCTTCAATTTCCTCATATTCAAAGTGAAAGGATTGGACTAGATGATCTCTAAGGCATCTTCTAGCTCTATACCTATGATCTTTAGCCCTATTAGATTTTAAGTTTCTTAAGGACTGGAATTGTTTTACTATTAACAAAGCACTTAGCATATAGTAAGTGCTTAATAAGTGTAATTTTTTTCATCCACTGAGCTTCACGAAAACCCTGTGAGTTAAGTATTAAAGATATTATCATTGACATTTTATAAGTGAGAGAACCGAGGCTCAGAGATGTTAAATTACTTGTCTATGTTCATGCAGCTAATAAGGCGTCAATAACCTATCTACTACTCCATGATGTACCTACTTTGTGCCCAGAACCAGTCCAGTTACTATGGGGTAAACCCAAAGAATCATAGAATGATATCCCTACACTAAAGAGCATTCCAGGTAAGGAAGTTATTGTGGATAAGGTCAAAAAGGTAGAAATTATCATGAACTGTGCAGTCAGTCAATAAACATTTATTAAGTGCCTATCATATACCCAGGCACTATGTTAAGTGCTAGGAATACAAAGGCAAAGAGAGTACCTGGCCTCAAGGAGCTCACAATCTAATGTGCAAGGGAGGATATGAGAGGTCCAAAGTTTAGTTGACTATAAAAGCTCCCCTAGAAGGAGAAAAAGTTGGTAAGTTCTGGACTAGATGTTGCCATCATTTAGTTCAGTAGAAGATAGAGCCCCATTGGACCGAAGGCAGGGGAAAGGGGGAGAGGAGGAGAGCATTAGGGAAACAGGAGAGAATAAGAGGGGAAGGGAGAGGGGGAAAGAAGGAGAAAAGGGAGGGATGGAGAGAATGAGAATTTACTTATTGCTCAGGGAATAAGGTAGGCTTGGGAGAAAGGACTCAGGAAATAACACGTATGCAGTAGAAACAATATCTTAAACCCTCTTACCATGCAAGTTAGGGTGGTTTTTCCCAAAAGGTATTGAGACATTCACATTTGGGCTGCTCAGGAAACCAGCGGTTGATATCACTTCCTCATCACCTAAGTACAAAGTAGTCAATGAGAAGCTGGAGAGGCTCTCAGTGCTTAGATAGGTGAACCATGATGGGAGGTTTGAACAACTGAATAAACTCAAGGTGTCCTCAGTGACTGTCCTTGTTGAATATCCTTCTGCTATGGCTAAATAAATCTGCTCATGTTAACTGTTGAGTGACCTATAAGCATTTTGTTTCATTCCAATGTCAAACCTAAACTACCAGAAGAAAAAAAAGTGGAAAAGGTAGTTTGGTTAAAAAAAAAACACAAAAAGTAAGGCTAAGCACATCCCAGACCTCAGAGACCCACATCAGGAAGTGTGGCCATGACCTCTGTAAAACCATCCTTACTGTCCTTGTCAGAAATAGGACCTTGCACTCCAGGAACTGTGTAACTAACTGGGGTCGAACATTTTAGATGAACTTGTATGTTCAACCACATCATATTTGATTGAGCCAGTTGAGTTTGTGACCTCTGTCTGTTGCAAATCACAGGAGAGGAAAGTAGAGAACCAGCTAAATCCTTACCCATCATTCAAGACCCACTGTCTGTCTCTTGGGACCCCAACAGATAATTTTTTTTTCCTTGTGTCCTACATGAATATAGAGCTTCACTTTCCAGGTTTTCTATCTGGTATGGTTCTTGTCCTTTGTTTTCAAAGAGGACCAAAATAACATCACTATGTTGGGGTTAAGGTACAGTGGGTCCAACTGTGGCTGATCAAACCAATAGGAGTTTGGAAGGTTCTACCATAGGTCAGGCACAAATAGTCCACATGAACATTTGGAGTGGAGATGTCACCAAATTTGTGCATCTCATGGTTCTTTTAAGCTACTGTGATTCTGCTTCACTTAAAGAGATAATTCCTTCTTTGACGTAAGCATACCATTCTGGGTGGTCCTTTGCCAGTGTCTCCCATGACATGCAATTGATTTCAAAGTTTTTCAGAAAAAGTTCTTCTTCAAAGTTCTTCAGCTCTTCAGGTCCTTCAGGAGGAACTCTATTATAGACAAGCTTAGTATTAATCTCTTTTGGACCTTGATTGGCTTCTCCATAAAAGGGACAGAGTTATAGTTTAGTGTAAAAAAACATTGGCATTGAAGTCACAGAATCATATAATCTTTAAGTTGAAAAAGAACTTGGATCATCTTTTTGATCCAACCTGTACATGGATATGAATTGCTTCTAATAATGATAATAGCTTGATGATGATATAATAATGTAATATAACAATATAATATAATAAATAATGATATAGCATTGATATAGCACCTATTATGTGCCAGTACTTTACAAATGTTACTTCATTTGATCCTCACAACAACTCTGGGATGTAGGTACTATTATTAGCCCCATTGTATAGCTGAGGAAATTGAGTTAAATGGAGCTTAAGTAACTCAATGACACACAGCTAGTAAATATGAAGGCAAGATTTGAACTCAGGACTTCTTGATTTTGTATCCACTGAGCCACCTAATTGCTATTCCTAACAAGTGGTCATCTAGCTTCTACTTAAAAGTCCTCCAGTAATGGGAAACCTACTACCTCCTGAAGTAGCCTGGTTTACTTTTGGTCACTCTAATAGAAAGTTTTTTCATACATTCATGAGAAATATGCCTCCAAGCAACTTTAATTCAACTAGCATTTACTAAGTGCCTACTATATACAAGGTACCGTGCCAAGAAAAAAGTAAAAACAGTCCCTGACTTCAGGGAGCTTACATTCTGGAGCAGTGCTGGGGTGGGGGGAAGAGGAGGAAGAGGAGAAAGAGGAGAAGAGGACAAAGGATTAAGGGCCTAAATTCCTAGAAGAGACAGAAGGCTATGGCATCAAAGATACAACTGGAAGGGTTGGCCTTGGCAAGGAAATGACCTACATCTTAATCAGAGACTGGAGGAAAGGAGCGAATTAGGAAGAAGTTAGAAGAATTTTGAGATGTAGATTAAGAGAGAAGAAAGCGCTCATAACAGATAGACTATAAGCAAAGTAGGAGTTGGATTCTTCTTTTGAAAGAGAGGGAGAGGGAAAGGGATAGAATAGAAGGCTTGAGGAGAGGGAGAGAAGGTTTGGAATAGCTACTATGGGGAATCTGATATCCATCACAGAAGAATAAGAGATTTGCTGTGCAGAAGGAAAGGTTCAGTTGAGATTTAGAAAATATAAATTTATGTAGAGCTGTGACTTCCTCCAACAACATTGAAGCAGGAGTGGAGAAAATATGTGGCAGCCCAGGGTCATGGTTTGGCAAGGCATGAGTGGTCACTGGATAAGGGACAAGGGATTCAAGGGTTGAGGACTGGTTAACAATAAGGTTAAGAATACTAAGGCAGGAAAGTGAGGCCAGAGTGTGAATGATGGGTTGGGTGAGCAGAGGCAGATGGTTTACTCTTACTAGGGGTAAGGGTAAGGAGAAAGAATGGGTCAGGGACAGCTAAATGGCAAAACCAATAGGACTTGGAGTCAGGAAGACCTGAATTTGATTCTTGTCTCAGACCCTTATTAGTTATGTGAACTTAGGCAAGTCACTAAACTTCTCTGCCCCAATTGTTTCACCTACATAATGGGGATAATGATAGCACTTATCTCCCAGGGTTGATCTAAGGATCCAGTGAGAAAGCATATGTAAAATACCTAGTAAACCCAAAGTACTATATAAATGCTAGCTATTACTACTACTACTAATAATAATAGGAGTGAGGCAAAAGAAGGGACCTAACCACTGTTACTATTTTAGCATAATTCCAGATTGCTTTACAGAATGACTGGATTAATTCACAGCTTCCCTAGCAATATATTTGTGTATTTGTTTTCCCACATCTCCTCCAGCATTGACTATTACCATTTTTTGTCATCTCGCCAGTTGGCAAGAAATCTCAGAATTGTTTTAATTTAATTATAGTCATTAATAGTTTTCAATTCTTTTGCAAACTTGTTTATTCCTATTTTAGACCATTTACCAATTGAGAAATGGCTCTTGATCTTAACATATTTGTGTTAATTTCCAATACATCTTAGCTATCAGACTTCTGTTGGAGATATTTGATATACAGACTTTTTTTTTTCCCCACTTGATTATTTCTCTTCTAATTCTATTTCACTCTCATTCAAAAGTTTTTAGAATGTTATGTAATTGAAATCATCTATTTCTCCTTTTGTGACCACCTCTCTCCTTTACTTGGTAAGAAGTCCTCTCCATTGCCATAGGTGTGAATAGCCCCCCTTTGTTTTTTATCTGTTTTTAAAAAGTAATTTGATATTCAGTATTTAAGTCACATAGCCATTGTTGTATATAGTGTAAGATGCTAGTATAAACCTAATTTCTGTAAAACTCCTTTGCAGTTCTCTCAGCAGTGCTTGGCAGTTTGGGAGTCTTTTCTATGGTAATCTGTATTCTTGGGTTCATTTAAAAAAAACAAACAAATAGGCTACTGGTTTTTTTATTATTGTTTTGGGTTCTTGCTTATCTTTTCTCTTTCATAAATATGCTTCTCTTTCTCTCTCTCTTTTTTTTTTTTGCTGAGGCAATCAGGGTTAAGTGACTTAGCTAGGGTCACACAGCTAGTAAGTGTGAAGTGTCTGAGGTCACATTTGAACTTAGGACCTCCTGACTCCAAGGCCAGAGCTCTATCCGCTGCACCACCTAGCTGCCCCTGCTTCTCTCTTTATTAACCCATAACAAAAGTGGTTATTGCTTTATGATAGAATCTGAGGCCTATGCCCCTTTATTCCTTCCTACTTTAAAAAAATTATTCCTCTAGATTTTTTGTTCCTCCAAATGAATCTTGCTAATATGGTATTTAATTCGATGAAAGTATTGCCTTGGTAATTTGATAGGTATAACAATAAATCTGTAAATTAATCTGTCATTTCCCTGTTCTGAATGAACTCAGCATCCTGCAATTCTCTTTAATGCTTGGAAAAAGCATTCTTGTGCCCTAGTTAAAGTTTGAAAATTGTGTCCTCTAGATGTTAACAATCTTGAGAAACCTTTGGCCTTTACTATAATCCATGTGAATTGATACCACACAATACTTACACACCATGGATAATAGAAAGTTCTGACATTAAAAATGCATGCAGATGGGGCCGGATAGAGCACCAGCTTTGGAGTCAGGAGTTCAAATCTGGCCTCAGACACTTGACCCTAGCTGTGTGACCCTAGGCAAGTCACTTAACCCCAATTGCCTCACCAAAAAAACCCAAAAACCAAAAACCAAAAAACATGCAATTATTAAATGTGATATTTAAAAATATCTCACATTGCATCTTCTCTCCCTGGCCTGGCCTAGGAAAGGAACAACTTTTCTGTTTGGGTCTCAGGTCCACCACTCCATTCACATAAGGCTTAGTAACATAGTTCTCTGCAGATAGGTCTTATCTATCCTGTAGTGAACAGTTGGGTGGTGCCATAGTGGGTAGAGTGCTGGACCTGGAATCAGGAAGACTCATCTTCCTGAGTTCAGATCTGGCTTCAGACACTTACTAGCTGTGTGACCTTGGGCTAGTCACTTAACCCTGCTTTTCTCATCTGTAAATGAGCTGGAGAAGGAAAGGCCAAACTATATAGTGGGGAAAGCTCCTTGAGGGCAGAGCTTCTTTCTCCTGACAGTTGTTATTTAATTATTTTCTCATTTGTTCATTCACCCCCCCCCCAACAGTGCCTACCCATGGGTCTGGACACTAAGAAATAGTACTAAACATTCAATATATTCTTTGACTTGCATTCATTTGAATTTAAACAGTTTTGTTTACAACAAATTCAACCCGGGAGGCAATCCTATACTAGTGCTTTCCTGTCAATCATGCTCCACAACAAAAGAATGTGATTGCCTGCTCTTTGCTATGTAGATGAAAACTAGGAGAGAACTACTCCTTAATTAACCCTTCCAGAGGTTATCTTCTTCATAATCCAGATTTGGAATGGACTTTACATATGTAATTCAATCTCTCAATCTATAGGGAAGGGACCCAAGGCCCAGAGATTTGAAGCTGCTGGTCTAACATCACTCAATAAATACCAGTGTTGAGATTTAGACCTACGCCTCTGACTTCAAGTCCACTTCCTCTACCCACTATTTGTTGTTGTTGTTGTTCAGTTGTTTTCAATCATGTCCTACTCACTGTGACCCCATTTGGAGTTTTCTTGGCAAAGATTCTGGACTGGTTTGCCATTTCCTTCTTCAGCTCATTTTACAGATAAGAAAACTGAGGCAAACAGAGTTAAATGACTTGCTCAGGGTCACACAGCCAGTCAGTATCTGAGGCTAGATTTGAATTCAGGAAGATGAGCCTTCCCGACTCCCGACACTCTATCTACTGTGCCACCTAGCTGCTGCTACCCACTATGTCATACTGCTTTTCAGAGAACATTGAACCCCAAACTGGTCCTGCCCTCCTCTCCTTATAGTAGGGGATGTGCACTTAGGCCCAAACTATAGTTTGTTCAAGGTCAATCCAAATATTGTATCTAGTTATCTCTTTCCCTGACCACTATAATGAACAATTTTTGAACCTGGAACAAGAGATGAAAAAAGCACTTTCAAAAGGAGGTGTGGGAAGAGTGGTGGAGAGGCTGCTGCTAAGAAGGCAGCAGAAGTGTGGGGGAGCAAGGCAGGCCAAGCCAGGGACTAGCTAACTTGAGATACAGTCAACAGGAAGAAACTGCCAACTGTGAGATCCCAATTTTTACTAATTACTGTTGCTAACTAGGTGGGAAGTGCAATTAATCCTCTAGTACTGAAGGCAAGAAAGAAAAAGAGAAATAGTGTGCTTCTGTCTGTATTCAGAGGACATCAATTCTTTCTCTAGAAGAGGACAGCATTTTTCATCATGACTTTTGTCTTGGATCATTGTATTGCTGAGAATAGCTAAGTCATTCACAATTCTTCATCATACGATATTGCTGTTACTGTGTACAATGTTCTCCTGGTTCTGCTTATTTCACTTTGTATCAGTTCATGTCAGTCTTTCCACTTTTTTTTGTCCCTGAAATCATTCTGC